ATCTCCCTCTCTCATCATAGGGTGTCTTCTCTGACTTTATGGCCACATCTTATAGAGGAGATATACTTGAAGTTTCTACGCCTTGTATCTGTTTGTACTCACTTGCTCTGAGTAAAATTATGTAATTGCTATGGCCGACAAATATGTTAATTTTATGTAGAACTTGTTGGGTTGTAGCATTTCAAGGAGTGGTTAACCTCAATGCAGAGTGGTCTTTATACTAACTCTGCCTAATTCTGTCGAATAATCAAAATGCCTATGGATAGAGGGCGTATAGAATCTACAGGTAATGAGTCTGTCCATGTCCATATGTTAACAAACAACAACGAGGCTTTAAAGTGACAGCGAAAAAGTTCTCAAAGATCAGTTGATACTGCATGATGAATTATTATCTTGGCTAGTTCTCAGGTTTCCTTTATTCACAGATTCGGACTATTGCCTAGTGAAATGCGATTCACAATGTCACGCATGTTACAGAAATGATCGGCAAACTTTTATTGCGGCGTTATCTGGCATCCTGACTGCCACTGATAATTGAGCGAGGCCATTTACACTCAGGAAGACGCAGGAATAACCTTCCGGCTATGTCAAAAGACTCAGAAAAACGTGTCTGTTGTAACGTACAAGTGATGTGGTCCTGTGCAATTACTTATGAGGTCATTTGTGTATTACCTGGAGGGCTTTGAGCACATTTATCGTTGACTCAGGTTAAAGCTGATGTCAGCTTTGCAGTCACACAATTATTATGAGGTAACAAGAGCCCATTGGTGTCCAATCATAACATTTGTAGCCAGTCATTTCACAGTATGGTGAGGGGGAGGCTTTCCAAGTTGGTCATCTTCTTGAGACACCAACACGGCCGACCTTAGATCAAAAAGGCATGTAATTAAAATATGATAAAGCCACGTACATATTTCTCCCAGGATCACTTCACGAATCTGATAAGCCTGTCTATCGAACAGTGACTGACGAGATAAACTGGTGGCTAGGATGCACTTGATGCTGCTGAAATTTTTCTTATATTACATCTACGCGTTTCTGAGTGCGTATAAAGGTAGGCGAAACAATCTTCAACTGAAGAAATAAACAACCACAGTTTAATCTGCCTTTTATTCTCCTCGCTCCTCAAACACCTATTGTCCATCACCACTATCCTAACTCTTTGAAAAAAGAAACGAATGGACCGAGGGATGAGTAATCTGGTCTCACTGATAGCTGCATTGTTCGTTCACCAGAATTGTTCTAGCAGCCTCTACCACAAATTAAGAACTCGTAAAGCCAGGAAGCGAAACTCGAACGCTGGCCAGTAGATATTTGATTAACCGGGTATCACTGGTGACATACAGGGGGAAGCTATTGCGAACACAAGCATGCTGACAATTTGATCCTATATCATGACTTTTTATATGAAATCTTACTCTCCCTTCAAATTTAAGTTGAAGGAGTGAGTAATCTCGTCGCAAAAGGTCGTTGGAAAACTGAAAAGAGGAGTGCGAAAGGTGAAATAAGGAATCACTATCCCACACAGTGTGATTATATGTAGGGGAGAGTTTGTGATACCTATACTGCTTTATCATGCACTGAATTGAGTCCTGACTTTGTTATATCCCACGGATGGAGGTTGGATAAATGTGAATTTGTCACACATTCCGATGATGATGTTCAGTGGTATGGCCATTAGGGAGACGCTTGACAGAAAATCAACACATTGTGATAGTGTGGATAGTGGAAAGAATTTATATGTTGGTTAGTTTAGGAGGAGGATGTTCGTGGTGTTGTCTGATGGGAAATTACGATAGTGTTGGTTGATGGACCTGAAATCATGTAACTATGGCGAATTTCAGCATCTGTCAGCTAAACCTGGGTTATGAATCTAAACTGAAAGGATAACTTCTAACATGCCTTATTCATTTCTTATTACCGTGACTGCCAGTTAGGTCTAACAAACTAACCGTTGGGATAAAAATTTGAACGGTTGGTATTCTGTTGCCACTTCTGCACAAGAAAACTGAGATGGCACATTAAGTGGTATTGCTATGACTTACACATTATTTGCAATCGACATGAGTCCATTGTTGTGATCACGATTATACTATTAAAGTTATTGGCACAGGTATTCTGCCGTTTGATGCCCTGTATACCTATAATCATGGTCTAGGTCATTTTAACAGCACTCGAGATGGTGTAAAACAGTGGAGTATTTTTCAGAACCGAATATTTCTGGGACGCGATCTCAGGTAAAAGCATTCAGTAGTCACTACAATGGAGTAGTTGACTGTTATTTAGATCGAGTCACATCAAGCGTTGTAGCTCTAGACATAGTCCAAGGCTTCTCATCATAGATGTACGATAAATCGATAAACTGAGTTCTGATATCTTCATTTTCATCTCATAGCTTTTCCTAGTTGTGTTCCTAAGGAAATTCTCAACAGTGGTGTTCAGCAAGAAAAGCATTGTGACAAGACTGTAAGAGTGTATACCTGTGCACCTGCAAATCCAGGATGAAGTAAATAAATTGCATAACACGCTACAACCACCCTCCGATAACAAAGTCCTGAGGAGTGAAAAATGAAAGTTAAACTTCACCAACAGAGAGTAATTCTACAGGCCAAAGCAGGCTAAAACTAAAGACATGTTTACTCGAAAACGGCGTTTAACACACTTCTGGTGAAAGGTGAAACTTTTGTCTCTTCTGTTATCTAACTACAATTACAAAAACGCAACCTAAGAGTGGCTGCTTAAATGATTCTGATAGGTTCGAATTTGTCATAATCTGTTAAAAAAATTGATGAGTCTTATGAGCAGGTTGCATTTCAAGTGCCTTCTAACGTGCTGGAATCAAATATGATCTTCATTCAGGAAAGTTCGCAAGAATACTATACGGATTTCTGCCTTGACGTTTGAAATATGTCATGTGTTTGTTTGAAACTTATGGCGAATGAAGCTGAATAAATGAACTTGGATTGCTCATAATGAATACAGCACAAAATACCTGGTTATTACTCATAAATGGTGCTTGCTGTACAAAACTTGTGAAAGTTAAAAAAGAATCATGAGAACTAAGAATAATAGAAAAAAACCATTGTCATTTGTTTTGTGTTGCATGGTGACTGGCGTCTTCTGACAGATTCTAGATGAATTCCTGAGTGCTGAATCTGTGACACAAATGTAGCAGTCCAGGGAGCAACTGGTATCAACTCTAAAAGATCACTGTATATGTAGAATTGTGCTGAAGGAAGCTTGATCGCATTCGGTTATGAGTGGCCAGTTTGTCTGATAAGAACGAACAGAAGACCAGATTACACATATAATGCTGGCTAGTGCGTCAGGAGTCGAATGTTCTTCACTCAGGCTCACACATATTGTATAAAATTTAAAAATCCGATGCCTGTTTAGGGGCATATCGGGCTTAAATTGATTGACGTTCAACCTCAGGTGTAACTATAGCAATACTGATACACTTCTCACCCGTTCATCCACATAAACTGTTTGCGACAAGTTTATTATAACTATTCATTGGGTATTAACAAATTGTTCTGTGGAGATAAGTTATCTGCAGACTCACTGATTCTATGAACTTCCTCCACATAGGCTTGCTGTATTTCATTTAGGAAGACGACTATTCAGCAAAGAAAACGGTGAGCATCCATATGATAATAATAACAATAATAATCTGTTTTGTTCCAAAAACTATACTTATTATACAGAATGGGCTACTGAAAAACAGCTCAAATAACCGTGTTAGATATCAACTTTCAGGCTGTGTGGGATGCCACTGGTGAATGTTATGACTGTCTTATCATGTGAAATGCCCCTAACACTTTCATAGTTACTTTGGAATGTTTCGGATATACTTTCGTCGGGGTTTTCAAGTGCTGGTGGGAAACAGAGTGAAAGCAATTACCTAGGTTGATATTATATGAATTTGCAGATAGTCTTGCTAGAGTTTTTCACCAGTAACTTCATCACCGCTGACAAAAAGGCGTCTTCATACAAAGCCCAAGTTGTATCTTGATGAGGACTGCAAAGCGGTAATCCATGTCACAATTTTTTGAAACTGTTTCCCGAGAGGAAGATTGCAGGTGGTTAGGCGATGTAATTTCGCAGCTAACGCTTATATACCGTCTTTAGGAGCCTTCATATTTAACGGAAAAAATGAAATGGTTAAGGTAATTTAGTGCAGCAGTTGGGAGTTATCGCCAGTGTTGGACATTGAATTGATCCCCGTATTTTGGAATATCTGCGTTACAAGTAGGTCGTCGTAAATTCTCTGCGTAGCGCGACTAGTATTTGGTCCGGCTAGGATTTTTATATATATGGTCTTAAGAGTTTGTTATTCTCATTTATGCAAGCACATAACGAAAACAGGGACAGAGAAGCTGAAGACTGCCAGCTAATTTACTGGGGCATTCCCCTAATTAGCACTAACATGACGACACAGGAGACAACTCATTGGATTAATAGGTGGTTTTCGAAAGCCAAACTCTTTATTTTCTAGTTTAGTTATGCTTTTTATTCACCACCTTGCTGTCTAGTACCCAAATAAAGGTTTTTGATGCGATTTTGCGGGGTTAATCAGGGGTGTGGGGGAGGTTCGAATTAAAAAAGGTATTCCTCGAAAATTTCCTCAAAATGCTTACTTTCAGTTGCCCCCAAAATATGCTATTTAGGGTGCTTTTTATGACTGTTGGTCCCTAATTTCTGACAAATCTGCACCACACTTGGTTGCCTTTTTTTAATCTATGTTGATCCTACACCTGTTTGCGCTTAACGCCAACTGGTTCTCCTGTTACTTTATGCTTGCTCAAACAAATCAAACTGCTATAAGTAGCAGGTTGTCTTTGTTCTTCTAAATCATCATACACCAAACACTGCAGTTTTATTTTTCGTAATCTGTAGGAATTCGTAATCTGTAGGAAGTCACTTTTTTTAGACTACACCTTTGAGTGTTTTACATATCTCTGTTTGCAGAACTGTTCTTGCGCTAAGAAATTAATAGGATGGACTTTAAAAAACCCTTGGCTGGAGTTACGTCAATGTCAATTGTTCCTTTGCCTGGCAAGAAACCTGGAAAGGATGGTCCTGGCATGTCACTCGCTTCTTTTGGTAGTGGTGTATTCAAATCAAGTTCACAAATTATACCCGCTGGACAACAAGGTAGTATTCCTAGAACATCGAACTTAATGTCACCTAATATGCTTCTAAACGGTCACGAAGGTGAGGTCTACTGTGGAAAGTTCGCTTCCGATGGATCATTCCTTGCAAGTGCTGGGTTCGATCGCCGTATTCAGTTATGGGAAACGTACGGCGAATGCGAAAACATTGCCACTATGATGGGTAAGTTTTGTTTATTTATTGCAGAACACGATTTAAGCAAATACGTATTTTCGGTAAATTCTCACCAGGCTTTACACTTACATAATGAAATATCAGACAATACTCCAGGAGGTTAGATAAAGGAGTCTTAAAGTCAATCAGAATTCCCATTTCGGCACACCTAGTGGATACGGACCACAAGATTGACAAAAATCCGGCTTTTACATTTCTACACGGAGTGCTACCTCAACTCCCTAGGTTGGTATGTCTTCGGTTAAGCATAGCCGAGGCAGTTGCCACAATAATAATAGTAATAATAATAATAATAATATCCACTTTATTCCAAAGAATAATAATTATTCAGGATGAAATTGTCAACCCAATCTGTGTTCAGAAAAGGTTTTTTCAGTCGCTGTCCGCTGTCCCTCGCCCCCAACTTAAAATAGTTATCTCTCCCAGTGACATCGGATAACTAAATATTATTTATTTTATTTGTATTGTTAACTGTATTATCGATATCATGCTGTGCTGTAGTTGTACATTTTATTCTTGGTTCCACAATTTTCTATTATTATATTATCTAATCACTGAATTATTTTCCCCTCTACCCTTACTAATATGCGCATTCTACTTATACACATACCGTTGCCTAGATTATATAAACACTTGAATGAATTTATCCTTGTTATTATTATTATCACCACTTCGATTTTTATCCGTCAGTTCTCACCTCTGATCCTATATTTTACTAGCCACAATAATTCAAATGCCTATGACTAATATTTCATTATGTAAATGTAAAGTCTGGTGAGAATTTTTCGAAAATATGTATTTGTTTATTATTTACGCAGTATTTCCATGTATTTTGTAGAGACATAATCAATCAGTTAAGGTCTTTACAATTCAGGAAAAGGAGTCATGAGTGTATTTGTACTCTTGGAATAGGAATTTAGTCTTATGACTTTACGTGTTTATCCACCTTTTCCTTATGCCATAAACTTTAATCAGGGAATTGTCAGTTTCCTACACCTATATGCGCTTACCCACAATATTTGCATGTGGTGTGATTTTTCGTGGACTTCATATATTATACTTCTATATGAGCCTCCGAAGATGATGAAAAGTATTGAATAGGTCTATTAACAGCATCAAAGACTGATATATTTCCCTTAGTATTTAAGCAGTGTGTATAGAAATCGATTGAACGGTGATGAAATGACCCATTTGGTATTGAAAGATTGATTATAAAAATTAGCGGACTTTTTTCAGTTATGTTGTGTATTATGTACTCCCTAACTATATCGAAACTCTGAGGAAATAGCGAAACGTGTATCTGAGGCAGATAGCAGGACTTCCTGTGAGGTTGCCTGGCACAATATATAGTTAGCTGTATACACAACTGTAAAAGCTGTTAATTATCTAAAACCAAAAGTTAGTAATAACCAGTGGATTTCTACCACCTCATCCGAACTGATTGGCACAAGAAGACATTCTGGCGAGCTCTGATTATGATTAGGAGCGAAAGCTACTCAGACGAAAACTAACAAGAAGCCTTTGAAACGACCGTGAACAGTGGTGGGCGACAAGACCGAAAGAGATGGATCAGGCAGCGACAGTAGGTAATACCAGAAAACTAGTTAGACTTATCAGAGAAACAAGTGGTAGAAGGCAAACGATAAGTAAAACAATATGTGAGAAAATTGGCACCATAATTAGCTCCCAGGATAGACGACTAGAACATTGGAAAGAACACTAAGGAGCAATTCAATTGACCTATAGCCACGCTTATCTTACCCAGCATGCAACATCTCCCTAAATGGGATAAAAACACAGGTCCTCCGTCCGTAACTGAGGTTACTAAGGTTGTCACTAGTTTGAAACGAGGCAAAGCAGCAGCACCCGATGGAATGACTCCGGAGTTATTTAAGTACGGTGGAGACAGTTTAGTGTCTGCCTTAACTAAGGTATTAGGAAACGTCTGGGAATCAGAAAAAGTCCCGTCGGGTTGGTGTAAGTCATTGATTATCCCGATATAGAAGAAGGGAGACAATTCTTCCTGTGATAATCACAGGGGGATTAGCTTGACTAATATGGTATCTAAATTTCTAGGCTCAATAATCATGCGTAGACTAAGTGGTGCTCGGGAGGAACAAACACGAGAGAACCAGGTCGGCTTAAGACCAGAAAGAGGGTGTATTGATCATATCTTCACTCTTTGACAGATTGTGGAACATAGGCATACTTACCGGCTTCCAACAGTCGTTATATTTCTTGACCTGAAAGTAGCATTTGATTCTGTCGACCGAGAAGACGCTGAAAAATTGCAGTCTTGGGAATACCTTGAGGCGCAGCAGTCTTTGAATGCTTGGCATGCGATTCTCTTCTGTCAAAGGTAAGATGATGTTACAGGACTAGACTATGTTGACTCCTAGTTTAGAAGTAGGGAGTGAAGTGGTTGATGGAGCACGTTGACCGCCTTACCTATTTGGGAAGTTACATCAACCCCAATGGGATGATTGCTGACGAAATCCCAGGACAGATACAGAAAGCTCGTTTGGCATACGCCTGCCAGTTTACACCGTCTGTGGCGTAGACGACCAGAGGGCGTGTGTACTGCCCAGCAGTCCGCTCCGTCCTTCTTAACGGCTGTGAGACTCGGCCATTGAAAGTGGAAGATATTAACAAGCTGGCTAGCTGTCTTTGACCATAGGTGTCTGCTTTTTATCTCCTGTGTTAAATGGTACGATAGGATGAGCAATATTGAGGTTTGGCATCGGTCGAGTACTAGTTGAGGAGGGGAAATCAGTCGACGAGGCAGTGAAGCTACATCAATTGAGATTGTTAGGACATTTGTTACGCATGCCTATCCATCGCCTTCCTTGACCGATGTGCAATGTTAGCTGACATGGGGTCAGGTTGGAAAAGAGTTAGCTAGTGGTGGTCAAACCGAAACATGGCGTCATCAGTCAACGCAATGCACAGCATTTAGTTTAAGCCACGTAGGAAGGTGTAGACTTCCTGGTTGGGGTCCTTGGGATGGTAAAAACCAATGACTGGAGACAATCTGTGATATGGCTCAAAATCGTTCTCAATGGCTGGCGCAGATGCATCCACTCTTTGTGACTTACAATACCTAGTGAAACTATATTCTCCTTCGTTATTACTTTTGCTTTTGTCTCTCATCTCTGTTTAATGTCTCTATTTGGCATTCCATTTTACTTTCTTCTCTTGCTGTTGTGCTGCATGGATTGTGGCGACTTGAACTGCTGCACATCGGTGCAAAGCTCTATGTTGAAACCAGTCAGTCAGTCAAACGGTGTAGGCACAGTTCTCGTTTTACAATAAATTAACTTTCTATGTGTAAACTGCTATTAAGAACATTTTTGTTAGTGTTGGTTGAATGGATTTTCATGATATACATTGGCAGTACGTATTGTAGTCTTCTACGCTGTGCGTCGGTGGCACGCCGACCATGCACATGGTCCGGGGTTCAATCCCCGGCTGACGCACACCCGATATCAATGGTTGGCCTGCAAAATTTGGGCTATCGATATCACATTCTGAAAATTCCATACTTGTGTCAAAAACGCTGTGTGGAGTCAAGCTATAATAAAATAAAAAAAAATAAAAAAAATATTTCATGACATTCCGTCTTCCCTGTATTAGTTCTGATGTTGTTTTTTCTACAGCATACTTACAGATACCAACCACAAACTAACTGTGTATGGTGGATTTCTTGTGTAAAGAATCTATTGATGGCTTAGTGGCAACCTTAGAAAATGCTTTTGTAAGTATTACCGTTATCTCGATATAATTAGTGATTTAAGTGAGTTTTACTTAAGTATTTATTTGTATTAGTATCTTTTATAGACAACATAGTGCATTAAGTACATGTCATTTTTCTTTCAGGACATGGAGGTGCTATTTTGGATTTAGTGTTTTCATCAGATGACTCGGTTATATATACTGCTAGTTCAGACAAATCTGTCGCTCTGTGGGATACTGAAAGTTCTCAACGCATTAAAAAATTCAGAGGCCATGAGAACATTGTAAATTCATGTGCGGTTGCTAGACGTGGTCCCCAGCATGTTTGTTCTGGTTCAGATGACGGAACAGTTCGACTTTGGGATAGACGACAAAAATCTTGTGTACAGAAATTCGACAATACGTATCAGGTTAGCTGACTTTAAGGGATTGGATCGTATATATTATATCGTAATTTAAATTTTTCTCGTTAGTTTCTAATAGCCTACATAATACATTATTTCAATAAAATGAATGCTTTCTTTTATAATCCATTCTTTGGATGAAAATGCACTCCTAATATTCTTTTCCTTATTGATCCAGTAGTCGTGGCATGCTGTTATAGTTCATGTGAATATTTTTGGTTTTTTTTCATTTTATCTGAGCCGGATAGCTTGATCATTATATATATATCTTCCAGCCTGTTTAAGAGAATTAGCTGCTAGTCAAGTCTCAACGTTATTTATTCACCCTTTATTTTAGTTGTTTGGTATGTACGTTAACGACAAATTATAGGACATTTATATGTTTGTTAGAAGTTATTTTTTGTGGCTCCCTTGTGGTCAGAAATGATATGTACTCAATTTTTTCAAGGTATGTCAGATTTAATGTATAGATTTTTTTTTAAAGATGCGAAATAGGAATACTTATAAAACTAGACGATTTAAAGTCATTTTCTCTTGTTTATGGCTTGTTTCGCCTTAAGATCACCACAGTACTTGTGAATCGTCCACCTCAGTAAGTAATACTGGTTATAGATATGAGGGAGAAAATTTGTAGCTCAGGTGAATGATTTTGATTTAGCTGTGTCCTCTGAGCTGGAGGGTTTATTTGCGAAGCTTTCATTGCCCTACTAGGCAACATCTTAAGCTCATACCTCAAATTGAAGTATGTTGCCTAGTAGGGCAATAAAAGCTTCGCAAATAAACCATCCAGCTCAGAGAACACAACTATATCAAAGTGCCACTGAGTGGCGCTTGTTTCGCTCAGGTTTATTATTTTACACTTCTGACTTGTCATACTGTGTCGATAGATTTCTACAGATGTGAGTAGATATTACCAATCACCGTGGTATGTATTCGTGTGAACAGAACACATGAGTCCTCCATTCTTTTACTAGCCAAAGGAAACATCTTACCGCAAGCAAATGCAATATGTCGTATTTGTCAGAATCCATACACCTAATATTTGTGATCACTTTAACTCTATTATCTTTTTTAATTAGGTTCTGTCCGTTACTTTCAATGACACTGCAGATATGATATTCCTTGGCGGTATTGATAATGTTGTCAAAGGTTGGGACTTACGAAAGTTAGAAGCCAGTATGTTACTCAATGGTCATACAGATACAGTTACTGGTTTGTCTGTCAGTTCGGATGGTTCGTTTCTGCTTTCCAATGCTATGGATAACACATTACGTATGTGGGATATCCGTCCATTCGCTCCAGCAGATCGTTGTACAAAGGTTAGTTGCACAGTTGTATTACCTAATAATTACTACTTCTATGTACTGTAGCAGTATAAGTGTAAAACCACAACACTGTGGTAGAACGTATTTCTGTTGTTTTGATGCCTCGCATAGTTATATAATTTTATTTGCTGAATACAGTGTCATTGCGTCATTACGACATCCAATAAACACATTGACATACAGTAGTAGTAGTCAAATATAAGTAGTAAAGCTAATAGTACAAGACGACAATATTAATGATGCATCATCATATTGTGGAGGCAGTGGTATTATGATCTTAGTTAAGGAAATGAATATAACTCAAAATCTAGCTAATCGTTAATTCACTGTCAACAAAATCACAGTTTTAGGACTTCCGGTGTTTGGCAATAAAATACTGCAAAGTTTCATCGATAGTGATGCTCAAAATATGCGAATCGATGTACAGAGACAGCTATAGATAACTGCAGGACTTCCAAATTTCTGTTCGTTTTGGTGTATTTCTCAAATTGTTTTAGTTATTACACATTATCACTATATTCGGTAGCTTCGCAAACTAGTGATTTGAGAGAGCTGCGCTGTTTCGATTCTTGTCTTCACTCAGATTTTCACTTTACCTCCAATCACCACCAATTATATGTATAAGATTATCTCGTGTAGTCTTACCATTAAAATATCTTCTTGTCTCATACTTCTGTAAGTTTGTTTTACTGTTCGTGCATTGTTTACGCAAGGGACTACTTTTTAGGTCTTGTATTCTCAACACTTGACTGATGTATCTCTGTCCATTCTGACATGTATGTAAATAATGTCTTATTGATCATTGGTTTGTCCGTTGAAAGTCTGAAAAGTCTTTTAAGTTGCGTTTGATTTCGCATAAACAAAGAATTAATTATTCGTAAGTACAGTGTGCTGTTACATAAACAATAGTAACTATTTAAATCCATCTTTCTTCCTGTTGCAGATTCACACCATTAAGATGAAAATATTTTTTCAAAGTGGAGAATGAATTCTATTGTTTCTTATCGAAATTGAGGTGGTCAGGTTTATGCTTAAGTCTCCTAAATAATCTACTGGTTGCTTCACTTGTATACTCTTTGATTTGCATACTAATCAATGTTTTCCACTCCTTGCAGATTTTCACAGGCCACCAGCACACATTTGAAAAGAATCTGCTTCGGTGTGCATGGTCAGCAGATGGTCGTAGAATAACTGGTGGCAGTGGTGATCGTTATGTTCACGTCTGGGATGTAAATACGCGCCAATTGGTATATAAGCTTCCCGGTCATACAGCCTCTGTAAATGAAATTGCGTTCCATCCAACAGAACCGATACTTCTATCTGTTGGTAGTGATAAGAAAATCTTTTTGGGTGAAATTCTGCCTGGTGTGTACTCATAGGATATTTCCTGCAAAATTTCAAACTTGTTTACTGTATAAAAATAACGATATTTTGTAAATGTTACTTATATATTTATTTGCTAAGTATATCTTCGTTCTGAAACAGCATCAGTCAGTTCTAAGATAGGTTTTTCCCTCTTAAGTAACCTTAAATTTATTGAGTGTATGTAAAAAAAGGGAGAATATAGTTAAGCTGTTAAATATTGTTTCAGTTTTACTGACTGTAACAAGTTTTTATGGGTTAACGTCAATTGATGTTTAGGGTCGGTCGGTCGGTTTTCGACGTAGAACTTTGCACATATATGCGGCAGTTCAAGTCGCCACATTCCATGTAGCACGCAAAGCAAGAGAAGAAAGTAGAAGAAATGCATAATATAGACAGTAAACAGAGGTGTGAGACAAAGGAATAGTAATAACGAAGAACAAAACAGTTTAATTGGAAATCATAGGTCACAAGGAGTGGATGCATCTGCGCCAGCCATTGAGAACGATTTTGAGCCATGTCACCAATTGTTTCCAGTCATTGGTTTTTACCGTCCCGAGGACCCCAACCAGGAAGTCTACACCTTCCTACGTGGCTTAAACTAACTGTTGTGGATTTCATTGACTGGTGCCATGTTTTCGTTTGACCGCCGCTAGCTCTTTTCCAGCATGGCTCTATATCAGCTAACATTCGGTCGGTCGGTCGGTTTTCGACATAGAACTTTGCACATATGTGCGGCAGTTCAAGTCGCCACAATCCATGTAGCACGCAAAGCAAGAGAAGAAAGTAGAAGAAATGCATAATATAGACAGTAAACAGAGGTGTGAGACAAAGGAATAGTAATAACGAAGAACAAAACAGTTTAATTGGAAATCATAGGTCACAAGGAGTGGATGCATCTGCGCCAGCCATTGAGAACGATTTTGAGCCATGTCACCAATTGTTTCCAGTCATTGGTTTTTACCGTCCCGAGGACCCCAACCAGGAAGTCTACACCTTCCTACGTGGCTTAAACTAACTGTTGTGGATTTCATTGACTGGTGCCATGTTTTCGTTTGACCGCCGCTAGCTCTTTTCCAGCATGGCTCTATATCAGCTAACATTCGGTCGGTCGGTCGGTTTTCGACATAGAACTTTGCACATATGTGCGGCAGTTCAAGTCGCCACAATCCATGTAGCACGCAAAGCAAGAGAAGAAAGTAGAAGAAATGCATAATATAGACAGTAAACAGAGGTGTGAGACAAAGGAATAGTAATAACGAAGAACAAAACAGTTTAATTGGAAATCATAGGTCACAAGGAGTGGATGCATCTGCGCCAGCCATTGAGAACGATTTTGAGCCATGTCACCAATTGTTTCCAGTCATTGGTTTTTACCGTCCCGAGGACCCCAACCAGGAAGTCTACACCTTCCTACGTGGCTTAAACTAACTGTTGTGGATTTCATTGACTGGTGCCATGTTTTCGTTTGACCGCCGCTAGTTCTTTTCCAGCCTGGCCCTATATCAGCTAACATAGCCCGTCAAGGAAGGCGATGACTAGGCATACGTAGCACATGTCCTAACCATCTCAGTCGAAGTAATTTCACAGTTTCGTCGATGGATTTCCCCGCCTTACCTAGCACTCGACGCCTAACCTCAATATTGCTCACCTTATTATACCACTTCATGCGGGAGATAGAACGCAGACACCTATGATCGAAGACAGCTAATCTTTTCATGTCTTCTGCTCTCAATGGCAAGGTCTCACAGCCATAAAGGAGGACGGAGCGGACTGTTGAGAAGTACACACGCCCTTTGGTCGATAGTCGGATATCGCGTCTACGCCAGAGACGGTGAAAACTGGCATATGCGAACCTAGCCCTCTGTATTCGTGCTGAAATTTCATCAGAGATCAACCCGTTGGGGCTGATGGTACTTCCCAAGTAATTGACGCGGTCAACGTGTTCTGCCACTTCACTTCCTGTTTCTAATCTAGGGGTCGGTGAAGTCCAATCCTGCAGCATCATCTTAAATTTTACAGGGGCGAATCGCATGCCAAACATACAAAGATTGTTGCTCAGGGTGTTCAGTAGACTCTGTATTTTGTCAGAGTCCTCGCCTAGAAGGACTATATCGTCCGCATATTCTAAGTCAACGAGATTATTCCTTGGTAACAAGTCAATCCCTGAGTCGCTGAAGTGTGATAAGGTTAAGTCCATTAATACGTCTATGATGAAGTTGAATAGGAATGGGGATAATGGGCATCCTTGACGGACGCCACTAGTCGTCACCACTTCAGATGACAACTCGCCATAAGCCCTCACCTGGCTGCATGAGTACGAGTAGAGTGCCTTAATCAGTGCAATGTATTTTCTTGGCATTCCCTTTACAGCCAAGCATCGCCAGAGAACCTCCCGGTCGACAGAATCGAATGCCGCCTTTAGGTCAAGAAATATAATGATTGTCGGACGCCGGTAGGAATGCCTATGTTCTAGAATCTGTCGAAGGGTGAAGATATGATCAATACACCCTCTACCTGGCCTAAAACCTGCCTGGTTTTCTCGTGTTTGTGTCTCCCGAGCACCACTTAGTCTACGCAGTATTAGTGAGCCTAGGATTTTAGATACTATATTAGTCAAGCTAATCCCTCTGTGATTATCACAAGAGGACTTGTCTCCCTTCTTGTATATCGGGATGATCAGTGACTTACACCAACCCGATGGGACTTCCTCTGATTCCCAGACGCTGCCTAGAACCTCCGTTAACGCAGACAGTAAACTGTCTCCACCGTACTTAAATACCTCTGGAGTCAATAAATCAGGTCCCGCTGCTTTGCCTTGCTTCAGATTGGTGACTCAGCTAACATTGCCCGTCGAGGAAGGCGATGGATGTTTAGGGTAACTTGGGCACGGGGCCTGAATTCAATACACCAAACTAGGAGTCTCGTTATCACAATATGCTTTAAATTGATGAACAATTGATAAGAATCTCTCGATTAGGATTTGTGTTTAATAAGTGCTTGTCAACTTGATGAACCGGGAGTTTATCCAACGTTTACGATTAGATATGACAGTGATTATCCTCCGATAAACAATGATTATACCCGACTTAGTGCTATTGGAAGTTAAACGTGACTGAAGTAGCTGGTTTGTAACGTCTGAGTGACGTAAGAAAGTACGTTATCTTTTCCCTATAGGTTGGAAATATCATTCACTAGAGATTACCAATAAGCGCGATACCAAGGCTCACCAGTTTCCGCTTTTCGATGATGATTCATTTAATTATGTTAGTGTTCTGTTCACACTAATTATCTGTGGATTATATATGTATGAATGCGGTTGGATGTACTGTAATAAGATGTACGTTAAAATCCATATTTCCTTTCAGGCTTTAACCTATAATTGTGTTTAAATCAAAAGATTCGTGTTATCAAGAATTTATTCACTGGTTTCTACGAAATACAAACTTTATCTTTAATTGACTTAGCTTAGGTATTGCAAAATTCGATCGATGGCAAGTGAACCAAGTTATTTTGACTAACTCAGTTGTAATTATTTTTGAACTGACTATTAGTTCACAGCTTTTTTAAGATTTACGATCCGACCTGATGTCTGAAAACGCTGAATTTTAAACACTGAGAATGCTACAACTCTTGCTTATACGATTTTTACGAATATTCCAGTGTTACTGACTAGGGGGAATGTATGGCTTTATTCAGACACACTTGTTCATAAAATTGTTGAGTCAGTCCTGCTAAAGAGAATAGTTTATACTGCAAAGCAGACAATAGAGGAAGAGAAGTCATCATGGACTGAGAGGCTTTCAGCGAAGTGGTGAGTGACACTGGAGAACTCTTTGCAGACTTCTGCGCACTCGTCGATTTGATAATTGAAGGTAGCGTGTACAAACACAAGGGTATGCACGAAGTGACACAGACTTCAGCTGACGGACGCGCGAAAAATCAGATAGCTTTCATGTCAATGTGAAGTGGAGAGACAACCTTCTGTACAAAGAATTGAGAAGAGGAGCTAATGTGTGTTCAGATAATGATCTAGTGGGACTCTCTCAAAGTGACGATGAAGAAAACCTGCGTAGCTCTCATGAGGGAAGAAGAGACAAGACAAGGAATGGTTCTCAATGGGCACCACCTGCAAGCCAACAGCAGAGAGGAGGAACCGAAAATGAACAAATGCGAAAACAGACAATGGAGGGAGAGTATGAGTTCAGTGTACATCTCACTGAATAAAGAAGTGAAGAATAGTGCTAGGAAAGACAAAAGACAATTTTACGACACACTGGGAACTGAATCAGAATGTGCAAGCCGCAGGTAAAAGAGACCTCAGAACATATTGTTCGACCAGGTCTCTTTTCGGGAAGGCATCAACACAGATGAAACCAATAGAAGATGGTCAAGGGAACACAGAACTGCCAGTGGGCATTAATTCCCCAATGAAAGGAGAAGTCTTGAATGTGATCAAGCTACTGAGCTGCAGTCGGCAAGGAAGCAGGACCAAACGGAATTCCCCCAAAGCACTGAAAAGTGACCCAGAAACTGCGGCAGATATGCTGACGCCATAAGTGCAAGAACTTAGGGAGGAATGAGAGGTGTCTACCGATTAGAAGAAAGGCTGAATTTAGAACAACACATTTAAGCGAACAATATTGTTTTTAAGTAGATCTCATCAGGCTTAACTCTAATACATGTAAGTTTACAAATAAAAATTCAAATATAAACCAATCATGGTGTTTTGTCTATAGGATAATACGATGGTGAATATAAGTTGTGCAATTAGTCATAATAGTAGTAATGATAAAAATGGTCTTATCAATAATAAGGATGAAAAAGTGAGGCAATCTGTGATAACACGAATAATGAAAAACAGCATGATTAAACAAACAACTGTTCAGGTGGAAGTAGTTGATAAAGGCTAGTAAAACAAATGAACCGATTAAGTAATGTTAGATTGTAAGGGAAGGAAATGAAACACGTTTATAATGAAGATAAGATTAAGGGATGATAAGAAGGGGGTTGAAAA